TTGTACTGCTGCATTCAACAAATTGGACGACTATTTCTCACTTGCAACAAGTAAAGACTCCATGTGTAATTTTGAAATCATCTGTAACTGAGAGTAATTGCTGAGCTAGGTATTCGCTATATGGTGTTTTGGACTGCGACTTCTATAACTTTGACGAAACTGGGTTTATGATGGGTGTGATTTGCCCTGCAATGGTTGTTACCCGTGCAGATCGACTTGGCAGAGGTAAGGCAGTTCAGCCAGGGAATCGGGAATGGGCTACAGCGATTGCTTGTATCAACAGTGACGGCTGGAGTATTCCTCCATTTTTGGTAGTTAAAGGCAAGAATCATCTTGCAAATTGGTATACAGACGGCGGCCTTCCACACAACTGGGTTGTTAAACCGACAAGCAATGGATGGACAAACAATGAGACGGGTCTAGAATGGTTGAAACACTTCGACAAACATACTGCTGTTCGTGCAAGGGGTCCATATCGAATGCTGGTGTTAGACGGGCACGAGAGTCATGAATCGGCCGAGTTCCAAGAGTACTGCAAGGCACACAACATTATAACTCTTGGACTACCTCCCCACTCGTCTCATTTAACTCAGCCACTTGATGTTGGGTGCTTTAGTGTGTTGAAGCGGGCATATGGTCAGCAGATTGAGACCTTCATTAAGGCTCATATCAACCACATTACCAAGGTCGAGTTCTTTCTCGCCTTTAGAGCAGCATATCTGGAATCCATGACAGCCCAAAACGCCCAGTCCGGGTTCCGCGGAGCTGGCTTAGTGCCTTTCGACCCGCAAGCAGTGCTTTCAAAGCTTGACGTGAGGTTACGGACTCCAACTCCCTCTAGACCCTCTACTGCCAACACCAACCCTTGGGTCTCCCAGACCCCTTCCAACCCAACTGAAGCTCTTTCACAAACAACCCTCGTTCGAAATCGAATTGCCCGTCACCAAGGAAGCTCGCCAACTCCACTCTTCGGGACAGTTATTGCATTGGCAAAGGGTACAGAGCGACTAGCACATGAGAACACCCTTCTGTCTGCTGAGGTACGTACCCTTCGAGCAGCCAACGAAGCCCTTAGCAAACGCCGCAGGGCTAAAAAGGCTCGTGTCCGTGAAGGAGGTGCACTTATAGTAGAGGATGCACAGGCTATTATCGCACAGAAGGATGTGGATGAGCAGGTACGACGCGACGTACGTGCGGTTGGGGGTAGTCGCAAGGAGGGGCAACCGTCTAGGCGATGCTGTGGGATCTGTAGAAAAGCTGGTCATAATGCGCGAACTTGTCAAGAAGCTATAGATATGTCTAGTTCATCTGATTCCGCTTAGTTATAGTTAATTTAATATGTTATGGTTGATTTATTGATATTCAAAGTAGAATGCCAATGAAAAGTGTCCGAGGTACTGATATGTCTGACGTACTGATAAACCACGTTAGTTAAATATTTTCCATAGTTTTCAATATTCTATACACTCTATTTAAGCCTCAAAGATTCGAATCATGACTCGAATTAGATTCGAGCCATGATTGTAAGGATGCCTCCGTACCTAGATACTCGAAGAACCTGTCTCAGAACTGTTACGGTCACTACAAGCATGGAATCCGACTCGGTGGGGTTTCGAACCAGTAGAGGATCATATAGCGAGTTACACTATAGTGGGGGACGGTAAGTGTATAGGGTTCAGGGCCGATGCAGACCTGTTGCGGTGGAAGGTTCAGGGCTAGGGTTGGGATAACCGAGTCGGGCCCGTTTCGGGAGTTAAGGAAACAGACTCAACGGGGTTCCCCCTTCATCTTTTTTGTATCCTTCATAGTAGACCTATAGGATAGCATCCGTTTAGCCTCCGACTCGCACTCTCATATGCTATTACTGTGAGCTGGGTGCCCTGTGTCATTACAATGATTCGGCGAATACCTCAAAAATATGAATGAATCACCAAATCGCCGAATCATATTCGGGAGGTGATTCGCCGCACACTGTCACAAAGGTAGTTTCAGAAGCACTCTGGCTGCAACAGATCATGAAGCAGATGATGTACACTAGTGATGACATTCAAGCTATACAAATCTATAGAGACAACCAAGGCTCACTAAGCTTGGCTAAAAACCCTAAGTTCCATTAGAGAACTAAGCACATTAATGTAAAGCACCACTTTATTAGGGAGCACATCGAAAAGGGAACTATCGACTTATGGTATGTGGAAACCGCCAACATGGTAGCCGATGGACTTACTAAGCTACTACCCGCTATACAACATAAGAAGTTCATACAACAACTCTAGATGAAGGTGGCCATGGTCTAGGAAAGGGCCGATTTAGGCACACAAAGGGGTGTGTCAAAATAAGGGGTGGTTGCTCTAACCTAAATCCTAAGGCGTGCGGTGGCTACCTACCGAGGTAGCGCGCCTCACTCGGAGTATATAGATTCTATAGATTGCTTCACTCTAACAACAACAAAACAATCACATACACTAGTGCTCTGCTGTTCACCATTATTACTTTTACTTCTACTGCTATACTAAGATAATCCACTTGGTTCAACAGTATATATAGGGGCTTCGCCCCCTATAGTTTCTCAATCAAGTTGTTAAACTCCAATTATGTGTTTAACAGGTTATAAGCCTAGGTTAAGCTCATGATGTGCTGCGCTAAATGCACATAATTAACGGCTTCCCTCATAGCTCTTGTAGGAGAGAGTAGCTATGTTGTACGATCGAGTGAAGGATTCGCTGTCACAGAAAGCCTCCTCACAACTACCATTACATAGCAGAAGCAGCACTAATTACAAGACGAGTGTAGGGCACACCAAGCAAGTGATTACTTTGAACATAAGACCTAGGAAAGCCAGATTCGACACCATGAGGGTGTGCAAGCGGTCAACACCACCATAGCAATGGTGCGTAGGTAGCGGGTAGTGAGCGCGGTCATACAGGATAGGATGGGCTAGGGAAGAGGGATAGGCAGAGACTTGGGTTATTGGGTACTATAAGGGCAGGGGCAATAGGGGCGCTGTTGCAGAGGCAACACAGTATAGCGTAAGGAGCGTGTTAGAACTGCGTTCCTGGTAGTACGCTACACATGCGTAGCCTGTATACCAACTGTGTATATATAGGGGCTTCGCCCCCCGTAGTTTCTCAATCAAGTCGTCAAACTCCAATTATGTGTTCAACAGAGGGAAAGTAGAGGACTAAGGCAAATGCGATGCTTCATTCATACAATTAACAGGCTTATAGATTTAACTTCACTAGGCAAACCATCGTTCCCTCCGTCAGGTTGTCACGTGTTCCTGTGTAACAGTGTGGCTGGGAACTGGTCATCCCGACGTTCCCACAGACCCAGAACCCTCACAGCAGCCTCCTACACTCAGATCTGCGGGCTTTTTGTCATCCAGGGCATCATTTCCCACATCTGATCTTGGGAAAAGCGGGAAGGAACCAAGCAGCCGACACCCCCTTTCTGCGACCTCTCCGCAACCCTCATGCCGAACCGAACGCCATGAGAGATTCCCAGAGACAACACGGGGTTTACCATGGATCTCCATGACGATATCAGGGTGATCTGTAAGTCAGAAACGGCGTTCTAGAAGCGTTACAACCCGCATTCCACGATACTCCCGAACCCGGAGTATTTCTGCGGCACCGCCGCTCGATTCCTCGTAAATCCTGTGCCACAAAAACGACCATCTCAATCTCAATCTCAACGAAACGCACAGCCCCATCGCGGCGGGATTTAACATTCCAACCCCCATTGTTGCCGCAGCGAGCGTTGGAAGTGGTACAAGATACAGTAAGTGCGAAGAACTCGTTACCGCCGATCCGCCCGCCGCGCTCGCTCGGTGCAGGGTGGGTAGGCACATGGGTTCGTTTGCTCACCAATCTCACTCCGGGCATGTCCGAGCTGGTCGTTACACAACCGCGGTAACCATACCATGGCGAGAAGAGAAACTGCGAGCCAGATCTCTGCCGTTATATTTGCTGTGGATACGCGAGAGAGCGATATATGGTTCTCCACGGTGCCGCTGAGCGGAACCGCTGTTTTTTTGATGGGGCGAGTGCGGATGAGTGCACGGCGCACGGATGGAGGAGGGGTGATATGTTATTTGTCTGTTCGCGGGACAGAAGGAGAGAAGGGAGAACGGCTTGAGTAGACGCGTCAGGGATCACAAGCTGTGGAGTTGAGCGGTATATTGAGGCTCTTATGTGATATATTGCCGTACGAAATAATACACTTGCAAGTTTTCGTCACTTTACTATTTCCTATCCTTCCCTACCTGATTCACCGCGTCTACTCCTCCCACCACACAACAGCGCTTATCCCGAAGAATTTACCCGTGCAGAATATGCAAGTCATACCCATCGTTTGCATGCAAGGTATGCTCGCAGCAACCGACCCCCACTTACGTTGCCGCTTCCCGCCGACACGTTTGCTATACCAACCTTGGTACGGCTCCCCCCTCCCATCGGAGGGCTCCCCGGAGCCGTGTCGGGAAGGGGGGGGGTCGTAGGATGGTCCCTGTTCTGGTCACTAGGCAATATGGTGTGCAATACGGTGGATATGACAATGTCCCGCACAAACTAAGCTGAAGTTAGATATCACAACACTTGATCGGGCCTTACTTGATGGGGTGGTCTGGGCGCTGGTGCCGCAATGCCAGGGAAATGTGGCCGGGATATTGGACATATTGGACTGGACTGGTAAAATGTCATCCGCTACCCGTTTTCAATAACTGACCCACCGCCGCTGTTGCTGCGGAAGAGGAGTGGAGGTGGGGGCTAGTCGATCTTCCCCCCCAACGGCCTTGAGCCTCTCCCAACCCGCTGTAGTGGCGGGGATAGGGGTGTTATGGATAGATGAACTTGGAAGTTTACAGAGCGAATGTGGTTGGTCGTTTCCGCAGGGGAGCGAGCTTGCGGCTCCCGAGACGGGGTGGGGAAGGGGATCTGGATGGGGGTAGGTAAGGGTGATTTATGACTCTCAGTTTTTCCATTGTAATCTACTTGGGGTTACGGGGCCGAGGTGGGCGAATATTGTTTCTTCGTACGATCTGTGGATAATGGGAATATATGATTCTTCACATACCTCCTACTAGAGAAAAGGTCTTCACTATTCCTATCCATGCACTACTTCTCCCCGTTGTCCAAAATCTTGGTTCATTATCCACATCTCTCCCATCCCCGTTACCGGACTGTGCCTCTGTGACGGCACGGCGCGTCCCCACTCCTGTGGAGTGTTCTCAGCCACCTAGTCATCATCCGCGGACTTTGAATCCATGGTAAGTGAACGCAACTATCTCACCTTGACGGGCCGTAGCATGAGGTCTTTTGGCGGTCTGGGAGTGTCTGACGCAGGCGTGTAGGTGGGGATATCTGTTTGAGAGAATCTTAAATCAGAGGAGGAGCTGTGTATAACGCATGCACCAGCACAAGCAGAAGCAGGATCCCATCCTCAAAACCGTCAGTCATTACACAGCACATACGACGTTCTTCTCCCCAGCACCTCCGGATGGTGCATCAATCGCCGTAGGGAAAACGCAAAACATCGATGCTCTCACCCTTCCGATCCCATCCGCAACCACCTAAGACAGAACGAGCGGTGAGGCATAACCACAATGCATATCAACTTACACCCCCGTCCTTTGTCCGTTCGTGGGCCTTACAGAATCGTGCCGCGACAACACCGCGGCCTTGTTGAGATGACGGGGAGCGAGTTTAACTCTTTGTCCGGCCCCGGCGGAGGAGCACACTCTATGCCGTCCGTGTCGACTGGCCTCATCGCGGATAACAGTGATTGGGATACCGCTTCCACGGGGCTAGAGGGACTTTTCCAGCACGGCGGCGGTGGTCCTGGGTATTCGGTATGTGATTATACATACAACTTGGATGATAACCACGATACTGATGGACGCCCAAGAACCCCCCATTCCCATTCCCCACACCAGCGTCAGCGTTTGGGGGAGCGTATACTTCCTTCCCCACCGAAAACAGCGTGTCAAGCATAGCAGCGGCAGTGGGGAGGGGTTTTGAAACACAGGCGATGCTCCAGCAACAGCAGCAGCGGTTTAGTACACAAGTGCTTTCCTACCACCACATGACGTGCAAATTCGCTTCCAGGCCTCCACCGCCGCCGCCGTCGTCGCTGGAGGGATTCCAGATTTCGCAGACACAGGGGAGCGAGTATTGGAGCGCCCTTGCCACCACTGCTGCAGCGTCAAACCAGAGTAATACTTGGAAAATGGATTATAATAACAATAACCCCCTATCTGATTTCACCCGCCAATGCACATACGACGAGTTTATCCCTATACCTCTGCAGACGGGGAGGCTATCTTCGTTCTCTCTGGGTGAGGATGGTCAGTCACCTGATATTCTGCATTTCAGCCCCAACGACGATGGGGGCCAGGGTTATGGCGAGAAACGCTGGGGGGATACACTTAAATGCCATGGGCAGAACTTACCTCCGCACCACGGACTACCATACACATTCTTCGACGACAGCAACAGTGCGAATGCCCCCGCCTTCCCGCCTTGGACAGATACACCGGGTCTAGGCACCGTGTCACCCAAAGCACTCACGCTCAGCTCGTCGTCGATCTCGTTCTCTGGATCGTCGAGCTCGGAGTGTGGATCCTTGGACTCAGTGTCGACGCATGATGGACCTTTCCAGGCTGCTGGAGGGGAGATACAGGGTTTGCAAGAGGGGTTGAAGCAGGAGAGGGGAGAGGAGGTGAAGGGTAGGCATAAGTTGCCCACGAGGCCGGTGAGGCAGTATGTTGCTATCGCGCCTAGTGTTGAGCGGGCTAGGCAGGCGAGGACGGGGAGTGAGGGGGAGGTTAAGGTGCGTCCCTCCTCCCTCTTCCCCGATGACAATTACTCACACATTCAGGACTCCTCATCACCAGCACCACCACGAAATCCCCCCACCTCCACCCCCCACCCGCAAACCCGCAGCACCAAAGACGCATTCCTCATCACCTCCAAACGGGCCGGAATGTCGTACCGCGCGATCCGACAAGCCGGGAACTTCAGCGAAGCCGAGTCCACGCTACGCGGTCGCTACCGCACGCTCACCAAACATAAAGAGGAGAGGGTGCGGAGGCCGGAGTGGACGGAGGGGGATGTGAGGTTGTTGCGGGAGGCGGTGGAGAGGTTTAGGTGCGGGAAGGGGAGGGGGGGGGGTAGGGGCGGGAAGACCCCGTGGAAGAGGGTCGCGGAGTATATTGAGGGGAATGGGGGGAGTTATCGGTTTGGGAATGCTACTTGTAGGAAGATGTGGGATCGGTTGGGGGAGGAGGAGGAGGGGTAGTCGTAGGGGGGAAAGAGGGGTAGAATTAGATAATTAGATCGGGAGGCTAGTTGATAATAGGCGTTATTAGCAATTTCCTGTCCCTACTTGGTAACTGGACAATCTGCTTTGGCGTTATTCTCGCCATTGAAACCTTTTGGTTTCGCCCTCGCAATGGCGGCTACGATCTCGAAGGTTGGCAGGACCAGGACCGGATGCCCTTGGGTATCGCAGCTTGCGTGAGTCTAGCTCTAGGCCTTGGTGTCAGCTTTCTAGGTATGAATCAGACTTGGGTAAGTGTTTAGTCTCCTGGCTTTTACTACGTTGACCAGACAAAAACAGTTCGACGGACCAGCAGCTAAGGCAATTGGACAATATGGAAACTATTTCACATTGGTTGCTATTTGTCTCTCCTACCCTGTTCTCCGACACCATTTATTTCCCACAATATGTTAACTCACTCCTCTGTGTATACGCTGCCGTATGTCGCGCGCAATCTGGAACTCAAGTGTTGACCGGCCGTCAAAGCTGACAGGGCCTCTGCATCTGCCACGCCGCCACCATGGCCCACGATCTTGCCCTTGAAATCCGCCGCTCTCTCCTCTATGAGTGGCGATGGTATTGGCGTCAACACGGTATAATCCGCCGGCTGTACGAATATCGCTATTGAGAACCGATCCGAATCGCCCTTGCTATCATTGTCCGAAGGCGGTGCGACGACAACGCGATGGACGGTCGATTTGAGCAGTCCATTGGTCCAATAACTCAAGAGGTCCCCAATATTCACAACTATCGGCGGGAAGGTCTTGGAATGGTAATTTTCGGGGAACACTGGCACGCTCGCCCATGTTTTTCCCTCTGGGGTTAGGATCTCGAGGCCTGGTTGGTTGGGCCGAGTGAAAAGGAGGGTAATACTTCCATAATCTGAGTGAGCCCCTGCTCGGATATCAGCTTCGGAGTCATAGTCAGAGTCCGATGGAAGTGCTGGATAGTAGAGGAAGCGTGCGGAAAGGGATGCCTTCTCGTGAGATCGGACCAGCCAGTCAACATCCTCGATTGAAAGACCGAGTGCGATGAGCCGAAGGATACGGGTGGCTATTCTGCGACATCTGGCGTGAAAGTCGCGGAGCGCTGCATCATTCTCTTGGAACGTTGTGGGAATTGATTGACGCCATTGGCCAGTGGTGGGATCTGGATCAGCTAAGTTGAAGGCTTGCTTGAAGTCGCCTCGTTTATGTTTTGTCGGATCGAGATTCTCAACGTGCATTCCGACGAAGCCACGGTTGTTTTTGATTCTGCACTCTTCTTTCTCGGAAACAGGGGAATCTTTGAAAAAGGATCGTGATATATCAAATACGTGATCAACAGTTTCTTCATTGAGGTCATATGGTCCACTATCACCTCCACTTTCAGATGCTGGTGATCCGGCAATCCACAAGAACCCCCATTTGACTGCTGATTTTACAATTGCTCTCCCCAGCTCGGGTGTCTCTTGACAGATGTCAAACAGAGGCAGATCAATCGACTTTTCGGAGGCAGCGTCCGCACCGTTGGATAACGTGACTGGAGGCATTACTGAATAACTGGAAGATGGAAGATAAAAGATAGAAGATAGAAGACGGTTGCTGGCCCTTAATTGGAATCCTGATTTACGTTATATGATGACTCTGGCGCTGGTCCGTCAAGAACTAACCAAGGGAGACGCCGGCGGTCTGAGGCGCCCGATTGGGCGACAGCCTTCACAGTTGAGATAGAAGCGGGGTTTGAGCCCTCGGTGTATGACTAGCGACCGTGAATTGAGAGAGAAGCCCCTCTAACGGCGAGTACTACGAAGTACAGTTGTTAGATCCAACGAGAACGTGGAGTCAGTATTCAATCGCTTTCTGGGAGATGACTCTACTCTTATCTATCCCCATGATGAATGATGATGATGATGATGATATTTATTTACGTCTAGCGGGACGCGGGTGTAACCCGCGGCCCTAAGACCTCCCGAAGAGTATGGGGATGTGCTAAGCTATGGGTTTATGTACAGAGTATGACCTTAGAGAGCAGTTCTTGCGTATTTGCGTAGCTGTAGGGCCCGTTGACTAAGCGCCTTCCCCGCTAGTTGGGATGGTGTCAGGTTTGCTAGTAGAGGGCGGTGCCTCGGAGGTTCTCCCGAAAGGGGGTGTATGCGGGACCGGTTGGTCTAATGTTATAAGCCACTGCGAGTGTGGTGTGTAGTGTGCCCTACGGCCTTGCTGCGGAGTTGTAGCTCTGTAGCTTGGTAGCAGGTGGTAACATAGTAGGAAAAATAGAAATGAGTGTCTTTGAACAAAGTATAGTGTCGTTAAAGGGAATGTAGGGGTGTTTGACCTAGACCCCGACTGCTAGTTTGCAAAAATATAGAGTAAATATCCTCTAGGACTATGTCGCGTTAACCTAGAGCCCCTACTGGCAGAAGCTGTGGCTTTCTCGGGCTATATAGGGATAAGTTGTGCTAGGCTAGCCTAGGAGGTGCAGATTTTTGTGTCTATAGTCTGTACTTCGTAGCAGGCTCGACGTTCACAACCTTTCCATCCTCATCATAAGTAATCTTATCCAAACTCCTGAGCACAGGGTTCCTCGCATCAAAGATGTCCGTCATCTCCTCCAATGTCTTGCCCGCCGTCTCGACAAACAAAAGAAGACAACAAACAGCTCGACAATCTGCCAGCCGATGAACACGAGGTAGAGCTTCCAGCCAATGTTCCAATGCCCACCAAGATGCCAAAATTATTGGTCATGGATGCGATATTAAGGAAGATATACTTTAGTCCCGCACCTTTCGCGCGCGTCCGGTTTCCCAAACAACCCACAGGGTACATGTAACGGGTGCCGCCGTTACAGTACATGTGGTATATAAAGCGTGTTACGCGTATTCCGGGCGAGCCGGAATACTGTAGTCTTTTTGGCTCAGTGGGATGTAGCGCGAGCGTAACCGTACATCATTACAGTACAAAACCTGTAGTGGCGTCCACCCCCAAGCGAAGGAGATACCGAAAAGGTAAATGAAAACGATACGCCATAAACCAACTCCGGGTTGCTGGAACTCTCGGCTGTGAGTGCGGTGAGCGCGACGTATGACAGCATAGCTCCGAAGAGGCCATAAAAGAGCATCTTGCGACGACCAAGCTTGTCGAGCAGCGTAGCACCATAGATAGCACCACCGAGGGAGAAGAAGGGGTTAATAGCATTGAGAAGTAGCCGCGTAGAGGAGCTTTGGATGCGGGCGGTATTGAGCATGGCCGGTAGGAAAGAGGTGACAAAGAATGCCATGCAGATAACCATGAGGGTTCTGTACCAGAAGGCGCGCGTGTCAAAAAGCTCGCGGAAGTCCCAGCCGGGATTCTCCACACGGTGCAGCGCCATCTGCTCCAGAATCGTCCACTTGAAGGGAGACGAGTGGATGATGGGTGTCATCGTCGCAATGGTACTTGGCGAAGATCGCAGCAGCTTCTTCCTCACGGTCATGGGTAATCAACCAACTTGGTGACGGGAAAGAAATATACGCAGGCCATGACGACGATGGGCAGGAAGCACTGAACCAATACGGGTGTACGCCATGCCCAGCTGTTCTTGAGGGTCTGGTTGCAGCCGTAGGTGGTCCATCCAGAAATAGCTACTGTCGGTCAGTATTGATTGCAAATGTAGACAGCGGGTGGCTCAGATTCGACTTACTGTTTCCAACCCACCAAAAATTGTTGTACATGCCACCCTGAATGCCACGGTATGAAGGATGAGCAACCTCAATGATGTAGACCGGAGCAGCTGCCTGAGCCAATGCGGTGCCGAAGCCCAGAATGAACCGACCGGCAATAAACATTGGCTGATGGTTTGCTGCCGTCTAAATTCCGGACTCAGGAGGATAACCGTGCATCCGATAAAGATAGTAAGCCGCCGGCCCCAGGTGTCAGAAAGAAAACCAGAGAATGGGAGTGCTGCAAGGGAACCGAGATTGTAGATAATGAAGATGAGCCCAGTGAATGGACCGGCACCATCGAGGCCGAATGTCTTCTGATACTCGTCCATAGCGTTAAGACTGCCCAGAAGGGATCCATGATAGCCATTATAACAGCCTAGTGTAAATTTCAGTGCCTACATTAGCGCTTACACTTAATATCTCAAAAATTAATGGATAACGTACATGTATAGCGAAAGCGCCAAACAAGCGAAAGCGCCAAAATTATCTACCCTCACGACAAACATTGCGATAAATCTACCACAACATTAGAAATCAATTGAAACTACTCGGAGTCCTCTTCCTCAGAGGTGTCTATTACAATCTGACACGTGCGCGCATTGTGCCCAGTCTCACCACACTTGCCACAGCGACGGGCACGGGTTTCTTCCCTTGGCTTCCGACCACGGCTTGCCCTTATTTCCTGCTCTACCTGCTGCACAACATCCCTCTCATCCTGTAGCTCTTGCGCCCCTTGTTGACTAAGTGATCCTCCTTGCTGTAGTCGTGTTTTCCTAGCTCTCCGGCGCTTGCTTAGTACTTCATTTGCCTGTCGTAGGTTTTGGTTCTCTGCCTTTAGCAGTGCTAATTGATGCATTATTTGCGATGCACCCTTTGTAAACTGGTCAACAGCTGCATAGAGAGCTATTTTGATGGCGTGAAATCCGAGTTTTAATAAATGTAGACTGTGACATAGCTTCAATTGGGTTGTTTGGTGTCTGAGAAACCCAAGGTTGAGCAGTGTAAGGATGCCTCCTTACTCGGGGTAGTTACGGCCGTCACGTGGCGCCATCGAGACTCGGGGCCGTTACGGGTCAGTCGCGACTGACAGCCTTAGGCACATAACGTAAGGAAGCCTTAGGCAAACAGGGAGCTAGCTGAGTCGGAGCGGTTTCGGGTATTTTAAGGGAACAGCCATACAGGGTGACACCTTCATCTTTTTTGTATCCTTCGTAGTAGACCTATAGGATAGAATACAGCATCACCTCCGACTCGCACTCCCATATGCACCTACGGAGAGCCGTATTCCCTGTGTCCTTACAAGCAGTACCTGGGCGGGAGCTTGGAGGCGTTGGTGTCCTTAACTTAAGATCAAGTGTAGATATCACTCTCTCAGGGTCAAATGGAAGAAGCCCTGCCCCTCGGAACCCGCCTCGAATGTTACTTTCCGTCATTGTAGTGTTAAATGCAGCGTGGAAGGCAGGAAAGAAGTCATCCTTTGTAATATGAGAAATATGAGCCTGCATCATATCTTCAATTTGCCGACCATAGGCCTGCTTTAACGGGCCGAAACAGCCAACATCAAGTGGCTGGAGTAGATGAGAAGAGTGAGCAGGCATACAAAGCGTAATAATGTTGTGTTCCTTGCAGTACTCCTCAAACTCATCTGAGTGGTGGCTCTCATGACCATCAAGGACTAACAAGCGATAACCACCAACACTCCGGGCCTTTGTATGCTTCTCAAAGTGCTGAATCCAATCCATGCCTCTCTCGTTTGTAGTCCAGCCATTTTCAGTAACAGAAATCACCCAATCGCTTGAAAATCCACTATTCTCATACCAAGATGTAAGGTGGTTTTTGCCTGCAACAATGATAAATGGTGGTACTGCCCAACCTTGAGAACTAACGCCTTGGATTACTGTAACCCATTCCCGATTACCAGGCTGTACCTTCTTTGCTTTTGCCCGCCCGTCTGAGCTTGTTACAACCATAGCAGTTGAGATAACGCCCATCATAAACCCAGTCTCATCAAAGTTGTAGATATCTGCTTCATCGATACCATATTTCGCAATTGTGTTATGCACAAGCTCAAACCAGCCATTAATAACTTCTGGATCTTCGCACTTAGCCCTCTGGTAGTCGTATTTGCGCTGAAAGCGTGTCTGGAGCTCTACACGCCGCTTAACAAAGTTTGAAGCCCAACGCGACCCAACGCGTGACGCGTCGCGTGTTGCAAGTAGTCGACTTGCCATATCTTCAACAACAGACAGCCGAGGAGGAAACCCTTTGGCAGCTAGGTCGAGTATATACTGAACAAGGACGGACTCCTCTAGGTTAGTTAATTTCCGTGAGTTGGCTTGGATATCGCGTCGTGAAGGTACACCTTCTAGACGACGACCTAGCTTGCGGTGGTCCACAGAATAGATCCTAGCAGCAACTCGAAGGCGTAACTTTGGGTCGCTTTGCATAGCCTGGATAGCTAGCACTAATTGGCTTTCATCGTTTTTATGGGGCATGTTTTGTTGTTGAGGAATTTAACATTTAGTTGGGGGGTTTGGTCACCGCATCATTTTGGCGCTTTCGCTTGTTTGGCGCTTTCGCTATACATGTACGTTACAGTATTATCTAGTTAAGTCGATGTAATTCAGTGTTGCCCGAGTACCGCTCCGAGTACTACTCGGAGGATCCTCGAGTACCGGTATTCGAGTACCGGTACTCGAATACCCGAGTAGTACTCGCATATAAATAGAAATAGAAGTAAAAATTGAAATATATATATACTATTCTAACTCTTATTGTCTGTATCGTCGCCGCTGTCTTCGTCGTCGCCTTGTGATAAAACACCCCAATTCCGTAAGCAAAGCAGATATCTAAGTGTAGAAGGCGGCAACAATCGGTTCCGTTTCTTTGTGATAATATCACCGCCAACACTAAATACTCGTTCTGAGTCTGCTGAGGTAGCTGGAATAGCTAGGTGATCCTTCGCAATAGAAGCAATCAATGGATATTGGTATTGCTTACTCTGCCAATACTTGAGAATATCTGTATTCCTACCAACTGTTGGCTCCTTCATCCATCGCTTCCATTCTGGTTCAATATCGTGGCAGCTTTGTGATACATATAGCTCATCTTCTGAGTCTATATCAATATTTATAGCTTGCTCTGTATCTAGATCCTCATCCTCAGCTTCAATACTATTAATAACGTTTGCCGCTTGAATATCAGACTCGCGGCCTGAATATCGATAGAAGCAGTCCTGCCACTGTGCTTTTGCCCTATTCTTCCTAGTTGAGTGCGTGCTGTCTTTCCATATAATATTGAAGACGTTGAAGTTATACTGAGGATCACAAATTGTAGCAATTGTAGAGTGACTCTGTTGCTGATTTGTAGCTAGAGTATAGTAATCATTAAGCTTCTTTAATGCAATTAAAGAAGCAGTAGCAATTGGGCTCTGTTCTGGTAGCTCACTTCTTATATCTTCAAGCTTCTTAATCATTCTCATATACTGCGGAACAGCGTAGTTGAGAGTTGGGTAAGAAGAGCCCTGTAGCTTCTCGGTTGGGCGGACGAAGATATGGAATAGCTTCAATAAGTCATGTAACGTAGCCCAATCTATTGCTGTTAAAGCAATATTCCTCATACTAATATCAAGTTGCTGTGATGCACATAAAGCTGTAATCGGAGCCTGAAGCTTTAAAGCTATATCGATCATTTGATAAGTTGAGCTCCAGCGGACTGGCATATCAAGTGCTAACTGACGGACTTGAATACCTATAGCTTTACACTGACTCTTCAAGGCATCTTTCCACCCACGGCGGTTCCGAAACACATATATATGACGCCGTAGCTTTGCAAGAACAGTTATAATTTCGTATTCAGCAGCAGTTGATATTCCAGTTGGTATTCATGCAGCCCCAACCTCAAGCCGGTATGCCTCTACCCTTTCGTCAGGCGTTGCCTTTAAGGAAGCTAAAGCAGCTTGAACAGCAATGTTGATAATATGCCCAATACAGCGTACGTCTCCTGCTTTTGCTGTAAAAGCCCATGGTTGTTTCAAGGAAGTAGGGGCTATTGATTCCAGTCTCTCATACTCTAATAGCATTGTTGTATTCGATGACGCATTATCTCTTGTAACTGTGAAGATAGCAGGCGTGATATTATAATCATCTGTTACACTCATCATCTGTTACACTCATCATCTATTCAGCAAGGTATTCACCAGAGTGGATCGGCTCTTGAAGGTGTATAATGTCAAGTGTCGTAGTTCTCATTTGCCAATTGTCATTTATCCAGTGTACAGTAACTGCTGCGTATTCAGAGTAGTTCCGAGCAGACCAAGTATCAGTTGTTATGGATAGTCGTCCACCATTTATAACATGCTGCTGTAGCTCTACTTGAAGCCGTGCTTTATGATAGCAGAATAGACGATATAGATCCCGTCCGATTGTAGTTCTACCTACTGTTAAAACAGTAGGGTTTAGATGATGAACTAATTGCCGGAATGAGTGGCTTTCCACAAGGCGTAGCGGTAGGTTATTTGATACCACAAAAGAGAGTATAAGCTCTCTATATTTCGACGAGCTTGGTGCGTTATTAGGTGCTTGGCGGGGCTGGAAAAAAGCAGAAGTAGAAGTAGAAGCAGAAGCAGAAGTAGACGGCGTTGACGAGCTTCTAATTGATCTCGTATTCTGTATACACAGATGGGTGCATCTTTTTAAGATGCTTCCAAAGATTACTCGTTGTCTGGCTCTTTAGTTACAATCAGTTTGAAGGCATTGGTATTGGACTCTAG